CAAAGCCATGTTGAATTGTCCAATGATTCGCATGTTTTGGATAGTGATTAATGGTTGAAAGATAGATGTAATATATCAGTTCTAATATCTTAAAAGATAGTACGCAATACACCCTTTATACCCTTACTGGATTAAAAACATTTTATACTGATTTATGAGAAAGTAACAGGGGGAGCTGCTCTCTCTCCCTCTTTTTATGCATGTATCTACACTATATGTTTATGGCTTCTTCTTTTGTGGCTTATGTTGTTTCAACACAAGTAGTAGAAGATATTATTGCATAATTGTTAGGATACTTCGTTTATTATGCAACTATTCTCTACTGTTTTAATGTTTCAATAACCACATATACGTGTGACTGATATTTTCAGAACACCATTCTTGAGTACTTCTTTAAACTAATTAATGAATTAATTAATTCTCAAAATGTAATAGAACCATAGACAACTTCTAGTCTTAAGTAAATTCTTTCAAATAAAAATAGTATTGCGATAGAAGTTTAGAGATAGAACAGAGAAATATACTTCTGGAATACACAACAACCACATATTTGTACTTATTAAATAAATCATTTTCTTTCTGCTGTTGCTTATCCAGAGTTTTAAACCCTGTTGCCATATGTGGTTCTTTCAATGCAGGAAAGTAGCTGTACTCTATTGTTGCTCTTCAAAGTAAAAACCTTATCTAACATTAAGTATCAATGCGCAATTCTGGAGTTTATTTTGTTGTCTATGGAATGATTTGTTTTATGAATATAGTTCGATAGAATGACTTTCTAGCTATAAGCTGATTCGTTTCTCGATAATTGCACTGAACATTGTAGAACTAAACTACGTGTTTCGTCATTATGGTGATAAGCCTATGAATAAGTAAGTAGCATCAAAACTATTATTCTATAAAGAAATTTTCAGATCGCTAGATTTGGTGTCTCTTACTAAATAAGTTTATCGACTTGTCATTTGTGATCACACCATTCGGCTCAAAGTGTCTATTATACCAGAGGTGTTTGGTGAGTATCACGTGTTGTGGAATAGGTTTGAACCACTTAGGTTTAACCTCACAGTCATTGAGATGCCCCACACGGCCATCAGATTTATTCAGAACTCTACGTTCCTATCATCTTACATAAGTAGTCTAGGCAGATCATAACTGTTTTAATTACTTTAAATACATAGCACTGCCTTTACATTTTATAAACTTTGTGCATTCAAATACAAAATAACACAGCCAAAAAACATTTCGAACGTGAAGCACGAGTTTTCTCAATAGTTCTAAATGAATTTGCTAACTTGTATTACATAAGGCATTAATTAAAACTCTATTGTACATCATAAAAACATATCCCCTTTTTTTACCTAAACAAATTTGATTCCAACAGTAATCTTATGTCTGTAAATACTCCGTAGATTTATATACGAGTATAGAAAAATCATTACTGTTGATTCATCGACTGTGCTTCACATACAACAAAAAAGATATTTCTCTCCACAAAGTTGAAGTTAATAGTTTACGTACACACAAAAGCGACGTTCTGCATGAATTAATGTCCCATAAGTGGTCACTAAACGTGCTTTGGCAATTTTATTATTTTATGATCCATTATAGCACGAGTAGATGCTCTGTTTCATTGGTGTTGCTCTAGTGATCAGCTGTAACTTGTGTTTTGTAAGTGGACAGTTAAAGTATCACACACTTCTCTTAAACTTGTTTTGTTCTTATAACAAGAAATATTGACAGTAAGTTTTGAATTGTGATTTCAATCTAGATCTACAAAAATCAGCTTCAAAGATTTTAAATTAAAATAGCTCTTGGAGTCTCACTAAATAACTATTTGATATATTAAGTCGAAAGTTTAAAATATTTTAATGAATGATTTGTAAAAGTTCTAAGCTGAGCTGAATATTAAAACATCATAATAAATTTCCGGTTTTCTAAAGTGATCATTAAAAGTTACCATGTTTAGTTTTCTGTTTGAAATCATTTATAGTTTCGTATATGTGTTACTATTTTTATTGGGCAATATCATGTTATTAGCATTATTTGTCTCTCCAATACTTAATATACATGTGAATACCCATATTAATACACGGTATTTCACATCTTTTAAGAGAAAAAAATGACAATGACACCTTCGAAAACATGACTATTGATATTTGGACTGTGATGTGACAACTTCGCCATATGACAACAAGTAAGTTAGCTTTTTATATATGTTATTATAGAAATAACTTAATCAATACCGTTAAATGCTAAAAAGAAAACTTAACTGTATGGAACTGAGGAAACCAGATAATCAAATAGCAACCATAATAGGTATAATACAATGAATGTGAGTTGGAATAATTTAATCCGCATGGAAGACAGCCATTTCTACATTATTACAAAATGCTAGTTTTACTTTAACATTTTCTCAGGTGAATATACAGTTATAATATAATGAGTATAGTCAAGGGAAATCTGCTTACGAGGTGTTCAAAAGTGATTATATACTAATAAAGAGTTGTGGTAACACGTTTAAAGAACAGTAACTTACGTTGAAATGAAAAGATGACTGAAACCTCTAATTCCTTGTTTCGTGAACTTATTAAAAATCGCCTACAAAGTAAAGGACAGTCAGATTCAATGTTGCTGAGGTATAGATTTTCTTCTTCGAGGAGGCGGCAAGCGCTGTTGTCTGAGTCGTTTGTGGACCCAGCACGTTCCTAACCACGTCACAGACCCCTAGTGCTGCACGAGTTACAGCGAGCTAGTTACATGCGCATGCAGCTTGTGTGGATCAATTTCGCAGTTCGTGGTACAAGTCTGTAGGTACACCATTACTGTTCAACATTATAGAATGCTTCTTTCCTTCAGAATTGTGGGTTAGACTATCTAAAACCTGATCGAATAAATATATTGTTATCTTGTGTGTGGTTGTCGTAAATACATACTTCTTCAATTTCATTCGCAGAACTATAGAATCTTATGTTTCAATTTAATCTTGATCTCTCTCCATTCTAAGATTCAAAGATTACATCATAATTTTTCCACATATAGGAAAGAAGCTAATTTATCTTCCCAATATTTCCTTTCAATTATTATTTTAAACACTGAAGTCATTTTTGTGTGTTGTCTTACTTCACTTACACGTCTTCACTCCGGATACTTCCTCCACCGGATGTGACGAAGAGATATTTTTTAGAGAGAATGGTTTTCGATGGAGAAACCGGTAGCGTCCACTAAGAACCTTGTCAGTTCACAGTTTTTGTCTATCATTATTCTCGTTCATTACGCTCTAACCATTACAACGAAACACTGATTATTAGTGCAATATATTTATTATATATTTAACTGAACTCGCATACTTTCAAACCAATCTAGCTAAGATCACAGTTCAACTTCCAGATATTATGTAATTTTACCTAGTTACTGAAAGGTATGCTACTAGATAATTTTACCTAAATTGTGATATGTAGATTACTATTAGCTTTGTTTGTTAGTTTGTTGTTAAGCGCAAATTTACACAATAGACTACATGTACTCTGCCCATCTCGTGTATCGAAATCCGATTTTAAGCGTTATAAGTCTCATTAATGAAACAGAGACAACAATGTAGTTCTAGCTAATTACTAAAACAAATACCACTGCATAGTCCTAGCTAATTGTTGGAAAAGAGACCACTACCATCTTCTGCTTCGTTACTGAAATGGTAACCAGTACCTAGTTCTATCTAATTATTGGAACAGGGACAGACCACTACAATATTCTACCTCGTCACTGAAACGGACAATAATACCCAGTTCTATCTAATTATTGGAACAGAGACCACTACCATCTTCTGCTTCGTTACTGAAATGGTAACCAGTACCTAGTTCTATCTAATTATTGGAACAGAGACAGACCACTACAATCTTCTACCTCGTTACTGAAACGGACAATAATACCCAGTTCTATCTAATTATTGGAACAGAGACCACTACAATCTTCTACTTCGTTACTGAAATGGAAACCAGTACCTAGTTCTATACAATCTTCTATCTGGTTACTGAAACGGACAATAATACCTAGTTCTATCTAATTACTGAAATAGGCACCACTGAGCAGTAACACCTAATTGCTGAAACAAATGTCCCTGCATAATTCTACTTCATTTCCGAAACATAAATCGTTAGCTAGCTCTATTTACTTAGTTTTACCTAATTACTGACATCCAGGCCGCTATCTATCTCTGTCCAGTTCCTGAGAAGCAAGCGTTAAAGATTATGTAATATTCTAATCGTAGACACGCTAATCATTACTACTAGTTTCCGTTATTATCAGTATCATTACTGACAATCTTAGATATTCGAATTTATTTTCTATTTTACACTACTTTTAATTATTATCTTCATTTCAAATTTGAGGTGTAATTTTACAAAGCAGTTGTTTTGCATATGAACGTGTTTTACCGACCTGAATGAACACGAATGTATAACGACCTGATGACATTCAGCTCAATAGCACAAACTGAATAAATGTACTGACCTGAATGAGCTTGAACAACGAGCCGATGATATTCAGCTCAATAGCACAATAAGAATAGCGTTTTATCGATCTGAATGAGTATGAACAATGGTCTGCCGACATTCAGCTTAATAGCACAATAAGAATAGCGTTTTATCGATCTGAATGAGCTTGAACAACAACCTCATGACATTCAGCTCGATAGCACAATAAGAATAGCGTTTTATCGACCTTAATGAATCTGAACAATGATCTGCTCACATTCAGTTCTATAGCACAAAGAGAATACGTTCATGAATCAAATAGTAATTATTTCTTATTTAAGCCATCAAGATGTTGATATACAAAGTTTTAGTTTTACTGAAAAAATTATAGTAAAATTAATTGTTATGTAGACAAACAACATGACGTAAGTATTAAATGTGAACAAATATTTCCATTTTCAGTTGTTTCGGTTATTTTATTTGGGCATCGGTTAGCTATTCTAGCAATAGATGGCGCGTGCATATGGTTATTGGGTTTTGAAAACGAAACCTCACTTGAAATGTATTGTCAAATCTCAATATCTTATTGCATGGTATAAATACAGCGCACTTTCGTTGTTATTTTATTTTGCTAGTTTTCTACACATTAAGGTACAAGATGATTTTTTTATCACTTTCTAAATGCATTTACGTATAATAAGAAGATGACTGACCGTGTACTAATGCTTGTCTAATTTTACAGTTTCTACCAGTACCAACATTTACGTACAAATTGACGATGACTTTGAAACCCCTAACTTTACGAAATTACTTACATATTTAATTCCGTGTACTGAATTGGTTACAAAATAATGTTATATTTTTATATAATGACAAATTAAAAACAATGAATTCATTTAAACTGTGCATTATGTTTAATATAGAAATAACACATACCGTATAAGACACTTAGCAAGAAAAATGTTCTTACACACGTGTACAGTTCTGAAGAATAACAAAACTGTATAATTCATTTTATAGACGTAATGAGGTATTGGTGGAAACTGTAAGATTAGACAAGCCAATACAGCTGACTATAAAACATGTACTAATGCTTGTCTAATCTTACAGTTTCCACCAATACCAGCATTTACGTACAATAAGAAGATGACTGACCGTGTACTAATGCTTGTCTAATCTTACAGTTTCCACCAGTACCAGCATTTACGTACAATAAGAAGATGACTGACCATGTACTAACGCTTGTCTAATCTTACAGTTTCCACCAGTACCAGCATTTACGTATAATAAGAAGATTATTGACCGTGTACTAATGCTTGTCTAATCTTACAGTTTCCACTAATACCAGCATTTACGTATAATAAGAAGATGACTGACCGTGTACTAATGTTTTTTATGATGTTACTATTGATTGTTTTGGTAATGTTATGCAAAGTGTTCATGAACATGAAGGTAATACGTTTGAGAGTACATTAAATATGGTATTTACATCAGCTTTGGCACTGTTAGTAACTGAAAAAAATATTATGTTTTATTTAGTGTAATTATCAATTTAAGCGATTAAAAAAAAGAAACGTAATAAATAACCTGAAATATTCTAATATAATTACTAGATTTGTCCTAATGAATTATTTTATTATTGCCCGTATATATAGGAATTATAAAGACTGGCTTAGAAATATAGTTAGAAAAAATATTAAAAATAAGAATTTTTTTTTGCGTGAGTTCGTGGATAAACTTTATTGCAGTATATAGAATCTAAGTAAGTTTTTCCAAGGAGAAATTTTCACTTCTAACTTGTGTTGGCCACAGCACAATACAGATCTCATGAACGTTTTGTCACGCGTTTGAGAAAGTATGAAATGTTCCGTTGATTCTAACGAGATATAAATGGTTAAATAAAGCACGTTTCATCTACAATAAAATTTTTTTATATAAAGAAAAAAGTTTTATACTGGCATTCTGTGTTTGAATTTTAACACATTAATACTTTTTTTCGAATATAAGTGCATTTTATATCTTAGTTTATTATTTTTCTTTTGTATTCTAATAGAATTCACAATAGATTTTGATGGGAATTTCTGATTCATACACCACATTGCTAAGATCGACAAGCAAACAAGTCAATCACCTACACAACTAATGCATACAAATCTCTCTTCAACGCCACCTAGTGACAACTACTGTTATTTCTGAGACTCTCTTAAACAAATATAGAGACAAGTTGTTTATACTCCTTAAAATGTTATGAAAAAACTCGTTACGAAAGGTTAAGTTACCCCATTTAGTAGGCATATTGTTAGAATAACAAGAGGAACCCATTTAGCTGTAATATATATTTGTACATTTTGCACAATAAATGAGGTTTGTTGAACTTTTGCATTTCGTTAATTCTAGGTTTTTACTTGCTTAAAATTATTGTGCAGCATCTATAAGAACTAGCTGTGCATAACCGACCGTAATTTTTAACCAGTATACTATAGGGAAGGCAGCTAGTCAACATCACCTTCGGCAAACTATTGGGTTCTATTTGTTCACTAACATTTTTATGTCTAATCAATAATTAAGTTTAACACTGGTTTAATGGAATCCATATTTCTGTTGTTGCGGTAAAAGTTAAGTAAAATACGATTATATAAGACACGCCCTCTTTCTCCCTCAAAGCGCATGGAAACCACCCATTGCAAGTAGTCAAAACGTTTTAAGCTCTCTACTTTTATGACAGCCTTTTATTGATCCCTCGTGTTATTGCGCTTAAAAGGGACATAAGTTTATTGGCTTTACGTACATATATTTAATACTAATACGATGCATAATTAAAAATGATTACTTATTAGCTTTTTCATTAATAATTTATATATAATTTGAAAAAGAAATAAAACCCAAAACTTTTTTCCCATTCATACCTAATTTTATTGTGAAATATTTTAAGATATTGAGACCTGTAACGTTGAGACTATTTATTCAACGAGATGATAAAACTATATTATATGCTATGCTATACAACTCGTATTTTCACTATGTTGGTAGAAAATTAGTAAAACTTAATAAAAATCGCGAAATCCTTAGTTTAACACAAGAACTTAATAAAACTTAAGTTGTTAGTAAACGTTAATTGTTGTAATTACTCTTATAAAATTCATACAACATGGAGAGTGATATAACAATGATATTTTTCTATTCGGTCCAATAATTATTAAAATTTGACGTTTTGAATTGTTCGAGGTTTTTGATT